AGATTTCCTAAATACATTGATTTGATCATTACACATTGTATCCATGTATCAAAATGTCACGTGTACTCGGTAAGTATGTACAATCGTTATGCATCAATTAAAAAAAAACTTTTAACCCAAAATGCAAACTGAAGAATTTTACAAAGAATTTGTTATTTAAGGGTTCGGCAAAGGGTCTTCTAGAAAGAAAAATGAACAAAGACTGTGGCACAAGACTTTTTTTGCTTTAGTCACAAGAGAGGAAGAATCCAGGCCTGATACTGCTGCAAGACTGCAGGATTTATACCAAAATTATTATGTAAGTTTACTATAAAGATTAATAGAAGGAAGTTGCAAAATTTTATTTAAGATCCTGACCAGTGCCAAAACAACAGGGAGGCAGTAATGTGGACTGTTAATAAACCTCAGAAGAAACAACTGGATATGTGTGTGATTCGCATGCAAAAGTGAGCAGAGCAGGGTGTGTGTCTTGGCTCTGCCACTGATGGGCTGGGTCACCCCAGGACAAACAATTCAATTCTCTAAGGCTCAGTTTCACCATGAGGTAAGGAATTGGGCTGATTCTCAAAGGGTTATCCCCAGACCAAAATCATCAGCATCACCATGGAACATATTAGAAATGCACATTTTAGCTGCCTTCCTAGACTTAGGCAGTCAGAAACTCTGGGCATGGGGGCTTACGACTGTCATCCAGCACTTTAGGAGGCTGAGGTAGGCAGATCACTTGAAGTCAGGGGTTCAAGGCTAGCCTGGGCAACATGATGAAACCCTGTCTCTACTAAAAATACAAAACTTGGCTGGGTGTGGCAGTGTGTGCCTATAATCCGAGCTACTGGGGAGGCTGTGGCAGGAAAATCGCTTGAACCCGAGAGGCTGAGGTTGCAGTGAGCCGAAATCACACCATTGCACTCTAGCCTAGGCGACAGAGCCAGACTCCATCTCAAAAAAAGAAAAGAAAAGAAAAGAAACATGATGGTGCCCTTCAATCTATGTCTTAACAAGCTCTCTTCGTGGCATCCAGTAAAAGCTTGAGAACCACTGAGCAAGCCACTGGACAGATGATCTCTATGTCCCTAATAGTTATAAACACACTAATCTAATTGTAAGCTAAGGAGGAAAGCTAAGGAGGGAAATTTTAAGCTGAGTTGCCGTAGTATTTGGCATGGTAAAGATATTCAATAGGATGACATAGTTATTTTTGAAATGGTACAAATTTTGCCATTGAATTTTGTGAGACGTGAGAATGCCATGCACACATACAAGGAGTAACCCAACCATGAAATGATCTGAATTGAAATAAAGGTAAAGACCACAAGTGCTAACACAAGGATGGTCACATATGCAGTGCGAGTGATTTCCATGTAAGGAATGTACATACCAAGTCTGGCTCAGTGCGCAGACAGCCAAGGGAAGTGGAATTTCAGTGTTCAAAGTTCTACAGGTTTTTTTTTTTTCTTCAAGTTTTAATCAAAGCTCGTATATAAGATTACTTTATTCCTGCATCTTCTCAATTGTCTCTTCCTTGTATTTGCCCTTTTCCTTTCCTACTTGGAGAGATTTGGCTTTCCCTTCAAGGATCTTTTTCCGGTCTTTGTCCAATTTTAGCCTAGTGATAACCACCTTGCTGGGGTGAATGCCTACGTGGACAGTTGTGCCATTAGCCTCTTCCCGCTGCACTCGTTCAGTGTAGTTTACATATTTCTTCCTGTAAACCTGGACTATGCCAATCTGCTGACCTTTATAGCGTCCTCGTACAACCTGAACTTCATCATCCTTTCGGATGGGCATGGATGGCACGTTGTCCTTCTGTCTCAGCTCTTTGGAAAGAGGGGAGGACATAACCTTCCTGCGAATGTGCGAAAGTACATTGAAATGCCTTTTGCGATTCTTGCTTCGGTCGGAAGTTACAAAGGGATTGAATTTCATTTTGGCAGCTCCCGCTTAGGTGACGGCCACGAAAGGGA